CAATTCCTGGCGGTGTACATCAGCCTTGCGCACACCTGTTGTGCCTGCCGCTCTGTCGAGCGTGCCAAGGCTCTGGGTGGGAGCTCTGTGGAGCCAGCGCAATCGAAGCAACCGATCATTGACAGCACAGTCTTTCCTGCCCGTCATCGCCGGCTGGTGCTGCGATGCCTCAAGGCACTGTACTCCCCCATCCTGCTTCTGGTACTTTATCTGTTTCTTCGCTCCCCGGATACGTACCCCGGGCACTCCGGCGACTTCAGATGCTTCCCGTGCCGCTGCTCTCAGGAGGCGAGGCTAAGCCGGTTAAGCAGAAGTCAGGACTGACGCTTGAAGGCTGGATCAGACGGCATCGCTCTGTCGCAGGACCCGGCGCCGCTGCATCGGAGCGTAAGATCTTCTGGGTCTGCTCCAACCTCTGGCCAGGACCAGGGTGAGAAGTGTCAAGGGGTTCTAAGACGAAGAGGAATGTCATTGCTGAAAATCTCCTCGCCCGTTTGTCCTCTGACATGTCGGTCATTTTCTGCACGGTGCCGGAGGACCTTGGGCGTTGGACTATCACCCACGGGCCCGATCCTGACAAAGCTTATCTCGCAGTTTTCTTGACACGGGCAGAGGGCGAAATTGTGCATTCGTTGTTCTGTTGGCCGCTCAGGTCCTGCACCCTACACGATGACGGCTGCATCAGCAACAACTACTATTGCACCATCGAGGTCCCGGAGGGCAATGACCGGGTCATCTACCTGGAGGACTTCGAGAATTAGGCTTCTTGAAAGGGGTTCACACTGTACGATTTCCTGGCAATTCATAAAAGCAAAATCATCATCTTTCGTTGCTTCCTGAACTCGATTCGATGGTAAAATCAGTATGCAGCTGTTCGCAGAGGACGTCGAGAAGATGAGATATGACACGTTGACCGTGAACAGCATCACGTACGGTCCACACGTTCACTTCGGTGTGAAAAGTGTATCTGACGTCGTGCCGAGTGGGAAGATCGAGTGGCACAGCGCTGCTTGGCGCAACGCTGACGGGCGCACCGCTGCTTGGCTGCCATTGGGCACGGAGTGCGTCTCCGAGGTTGGACACACCAGCCTGACACTAAGGGTTCGTCGGCAGGGACCAAAATCTGCCTGAGCCCGCCCGTGCGCCTGGAAAGCTGCAGGTTAGCAGCTGTACTCCGACAGCCGGAGCTGGCCCTGACTGGCTTCCACAGCATCGCCCAAGCAGCGTTGGACCCCTTGGGCTGCTATGTGCGGCGCCTATCCCTCTCCAACAACACGTTGACCTCGCTGCCGTCGAAACGATTCCGGCGCCTGAGCTGCCTGGAAGCCCTGGACCTGGGCAGAGGACGCCTCGAGCACCTGGAGGATGAGGCCTTCGACGGCCTGGCGCAGCTGCGCCTCCTGTCGCTCAGCGAAAACAGTATCACCGACCTCCCCACCCAGGTTCTCAAACCGCTGCTCAGCTTGGAGCAGCTCCTTCTAGGTGGCAAGACCGACAAAAAGGGCCATCGAACCGTGGAAGGGAACCGGCTTGTGAGTTTGCCGAACTTCACGCAGAACCTCTGGCTGGAAGTGGTGGATGTCAGCGAGAACGGGCTGACAACCTTGGAGGACGCCAACTTCGCCCACCTCCACAGACTCCGAGTCCTGGACCTCGGCAACAACAAGCTCCTCAACGTCTCCGACCACGCCTTTGCAGGCTTGACCTCCCTTGAGACGCTGTATTTGTTGCACAACCAGCTGGCAGAGCTCCCGCAAACGGTCTTCCAGGGCTTGACCTCGCTTCAGAAGCTGGATTTGAGAAACAACAAACTGGCAAAGCTCCCGGAGGCGATCTTCCAGAACTTAACCTCCCTTGAGACGCTGGATTTACACGACAACTACCTGGCGAAGCTCCCGGAGGCGATCTTCCAGAGCTTGACCTCCCTTGAGACGCTGGATCTGGGCAACAACAACCTGCCAGAGCTCCCGGAGAAGGTCTTCCGGGGCTTGACCTCCCTTCAGAAGCTGGGCATACTGGGCCAAAACAAGCTGGTAGAGCTCCCGGAAACGATCTTCCAGGGCTTGACCTCCCTGCAGGAGCTGGATTTGAGCTGGAACGACCTGGCAGAGCTGCCGCAAACGGTCTTCCAGGGCTTGACCTCCCTTGAGACGCTGTCTTTGTCGCTCAACCAGCTGACAGAGCTCCCGGAGGCGATCTTCCAGAGCTTGACCTTGCTTCAGGAGCTGCGAATGTGCAAAAACGAGCTGGCAGAGCTCCCGCAAACGGTCTTCCAGGGCTTGACCTCCCTTGAGACGCTGGATTTGAGCGACAACAACCTGGCAGAGCTCCCGGAGACGATCTTCCAGAACTTGACCTCGCTTCAGAAGCTGGAAATGGGCCGAAACTACAAGCTGGCAGAGCTCCCGGAGGCGATCTTCCAGGGCTTGACCTCTTTGCAGGAGCTGGATTTGAACAGGAACGACCTGGCAGAGCTCCCGGAGGCGATCTTCCAGGGCTTGACCTCCCTTCAGAAGCTGGATTTGATCTACAACCACATGGCAGAGCTCCCGCAAACGGTCTTCCAGGGCTTGACCTCCCTTGAGACGCTGGATTTGAGCGTAAACAACCTGGCAAAGCTCCCGGAGGCGATCTTCCAGGGCTTGACCTCCCTTGAGACGCTGGATTTGAGCAGCAACAACCTGGCAGAGCTCCCGGAGGCGATCTTCCAGGGCTTGACCTCCCTGCAGGAGCTGGATTTGAACAGGAACCACCTGGCAGAGCTCCCGGAGGCGATCTTCCAGGGCTTGACCTCCCTTCAGAAGCTGGGTTTGAGCTGGAACGACCTGGCAGAGCTGCCGCAAACGGTCTTCCAGGGCTTGACCTCCCTTCAGAAGCTGGGTTTGTCGCACAACCAGCTGGCAGAGCTCCCGAAGGCGATCTTCCAGGGCTTGACCTCCCTTAGCATGCTGTTTTTGAGCAACAACAAGCTGGAAGAGATCCCGGAGAAGATCTTCCAGAACTTGACCTCGCTTCAGAGGCTGGAAATGGGCCAAAACTACAAGCTGGCAGAGCTCCCGGAGGCCATCTTCCAGGGCTTGACCTCCCTGCAGGAGCTGGATTTGAACAGGAACCACCTGGCAGAGCTCCCGGAGGCGATCTTCCAGGGCTTGACCTCCCTTCAGAAGCTGGGTTTGAGCTGGAACGACCTGGCAGAGCTGCCGCAAACGGTCTTCCAGGGCTTGACCTCCCTTCAGAAGCTGGGTTTGTCGCACAACCAGCTGGCAGAGCTCCCGAAGGCGATCTTCCAGGGCTTGACCTCCCTTAGCATGCTGTTTTTGAGCAACAACAAGCTGGAAGAGATCCCGGAGAAGATCTTCCAGAACTTGACCTCGCTTCAGAGGCTGGAAATGGGCCAAAACTACAAGCTGGCAGAGCTCCCGGAGGCCATCTTCCAGGGCTTGACCTCCCTGCAGGAGCTGGATTTGAACAGGAACCACCTGGCAGAGCTCCCGGAGGCGATCTTCCAGGGCTTGACCTCCCTTCAGAAGCTGGATTTGTCGCACAACCAGCTGGCAGAGCTCCCGGAGGTGATCTTCCAGGGCTTGACCTCCCTTCGCATGCTGTTTTTGCGCAACAACAAGTTGGAAGAGATCCCGGAGAAGATCTTCCAGGGCTTGACCTCCCTTGAGTTGCTGTATTTGTCGCACAACCAGCTTTCAGAGCTCACCGAGAAGATCTTCCAGGGCTTGACCTCCCTCCCTTGAGACGCTGTGTTTGTCGCACAACCAGCTGGCAGAGCTCCCGGAGGCGATCTTCCAGGGCTTGACCTGCAGCTTTGAGGTGTAGGATCTTCAGCTCCGAGGCTTATTGAGGCCACAATTTTATGTGATGCATGGTGTTCCCTTATTTTCATTATAATATTTAGCGAATTTGGGTTGCCTAGAAAGGGCATTGCACGCGTTTTCATCTTCTGCAGGGCTGAGCCCTCTCGTGAAGTTTTTCAAAAGCCTGGGGCAACACGACGCAACTGCCGGAGACGAAAACCTTCAAACACATGTGGGCTATAGTCTAAGTATCCCGCCTAGTATAGTAGTCCCCTACCAGTAATCCCCAAAATAACCTCTTTAAAGGAGGTTAGGCTATAGCCACATAGCCCACGTGCAACTCTAGGCCTGCTAAGCTCTCTGCTCCTCGACCTTCCAGAGGTCATAGCTCCAAAACAAAAGGCAGGATCCTCCGCTTTAGGGTTTTCAGGTTTAGGTGTGTTAGTCTGAAGCGTCCTGCTGCAGCTCCGAAAGAGTCCCCGAAACAACGTCCTGCTGCAGCTCTTACCTGACAACTTCAACAACATGACCCAGACGATCGAAGAGGTGCCCGTTTTCAACGAGAAACCACTTCACCAGCCGTGCCTGCGGCCGGGCCGAGAGAATCGCCAAGCCCCATGGTCTCTCCGACAAGAAAAGCTGTCGAGTGAGGCACACAATCTCGCCAGTGAGATGTGGGACGAGGAAGCTGTCGCACACTCTGGCAAGATAGGTGGCTTGACGTAAGAGCGCATGTTGTAGTTGGATTTTGCTGACGTACTTTTTGTTAGAGCGCAGAAAGGGATGCGAAAACACCCCGGGCAGGGAGTATTTCTGGGAGAAGGATTTTGGAAAACACTTAACTAAATCCTAAACCTTAAAGCCGTGCAGCCCACCCTGCAGCCCTAAACCCAGACGGTGCTTCCTGGGTTCCATTATTTGGATCCTTTCTGAAGCGCCTGGGGTACCTCCAGGTCCAGGTCCCCAGGTTGGAGCCTAATAATTTAACACCGGTAGACTTCGGGTTTTTGAGTTTAATGTAAAACGCCCTCCACCCTGCAAAGATCTGACACTTTTCAGAGTCGGAGTCGTTTAAACGCTGCAGAGTTCTGAAACGACATATATAATGTCAGGATACGAACAATTAATTCAAGAGTTGAAATGCATTGCCAGAACAGCTAACGACGTAACGAAATCCGAAAGCCCCTGCCCGAGGCACCTTTCGCAACGCAGCTGCAATGACGCATCGCAACGCCCGCTTTCGTGTGGGGGAGGAGCGGCACGAAGCCAAAGACTCGGTCCCTTTGTAGCATGTTTGTAAAAGGGTAATGTAGGAACCTGATTGAGAAACCCTGGCTCAAAAAACCCAAAATAGGTTCCATATTCAGAACCCTAATAAAGACCCAGGGTTTCTTAATCAGGTTCCTACATTAATGTAGGGTATTAAGTAATTACCAATACTATTTTGGGGGGTTCCATATCTTAATTATAGTATCATGGGCCCCCAAACCCTATTCTGATTATCAAGGCCCCTATAGTAAAGGGTTTGCGGCAAACCCGATAAGATCGGAAACTAGACAAGGAAGGATGAAGTCGGCCAGTTAGTTCCAGGCAATATAGATTTAAATATTTTAGGGTTTAGGGTTTAGGGATAGTATCGGAAATGTTTTAGGTTCCTGTACCGTATGACGTTCATTGTCGGCCAAAACGGCTCGTCAGCGTTCACGGAGTTCAGCGCAGGTGAAGTTACAGGGCAGTGCCAACCCGTTCGTAGCCCGGTGTAGTAGTACCGAACCTGTATTCTCTTACTGACTCAATGATTTGTACCCGAGTACTGGGAGGATCCTGTGACCGAGCAAGTATACCGTAACTTGGGGCCGAAGTAAACATTGATACTAAAAAAGTAACTGCAACAATAGTAACAATAGTAATAAAGTAATCACGACAAAAACGATAACAATAATGAACTTAATAATATTCGTTGTTTGATTATATAACATTAGTAAAAGATATTAGCGGTATAAAAACGTAGTTGGTTTCTAATATGGGGCTTAGGGTTTGTACTTAAAGGGCTTGGGGTTTATAATATAGGGCTTGAGGTCTCATATACATATATATATATATGTAGGGCTTAGGGTTAGAATACATAGGGCTTAGGGTTTATAATGTAGGGCTTGGGGTTTCGAATATAGGGCTTAGGATTTATAAGTATAGGGCTCAGGGTTCAGGATTGGCCCACAGCTAGACACCTAGAGTTCTGCAACGTCCGGGTATCGCGACCTCATCCCTGATCCGCTCCCTTCGTGTTGGACACGTAGAGGTTTGGACCCGTGCAACTTTCGAGTGCCCCCTGCGACTGCGGTGGCTCTTGCCACGGCTATAGATTTGAGTCCAGCTCTGCTGAGGCTCTGCATCCTGCACAGAAGAAAACTGAAGCGCTCCATGTAGAGGCTGTTTTGTGTGTCGGTGCTCACTGCGTCATGAACCCGCATGTCATGAACGACACAATGCGCGGTCGCCAGCGTTGCGCCATTTTGTGAGCAGCACCGGTTTCAAAGCAGAAGGACCTGCTGGGGTATGCCCCATCTTGCAGAGACCTCCTCTAACCCACACCATCAACACACCAACTCGCCCCAAGTGTGACGTTGTTGGGCTTTAAAGCAAATTAGAGCAGTCCCTTAGTGAAGGCAAAGCAACCTTGCCCTCCCACCACCGGAAGCTATGTCGCAGCAGTTGCCTGGATCCCTAGTGGCGCTCTACCTCGAGCGAGCTTGGTTTAAAGCACTGGGTTCAGGGGATCTCGACTTCAGACGCAAGATCTCGTGCGTCCATCTTGGGAAGGCCCCTGCTGGCCAGGAGTTTCGTATGCGGAAACAGGCGTCCCATGTGGGAGATTCAGCATCCCTCAGTGTGTGCTTTTCAGCCGCTAAGGCCCCAAACCTACACCCACTTGGTAGCCCACTGGTGTTTGGTTCAAGGTTCCCTTTCGAGTCGCCAACCCCAAGAAGGGGTACCCTATTTTGATATGCTACTTCGGTTGTCTCTCCGCCCTAAACCCTAAACCCTAAACCCTAAACCCTAAACCCTAAACCCTCAGGCCTAAGCCCTCCCAGGATCTCCCTTCTGAAAGACATCGGGCCGGGCAGCCAAGCTTGCCTAGGGGCAGACTTAGGGCCATGGAGCCCCTAAACCTCTTAAACCCTAATCCCCTTAAACCCTAAACCCTAAAAGCCTAAACCCTAAACCCTAAACCCCAAACCCTAACAGCCTAAACCCTAAAAGCCTAAACCCTAAACCCCAGACCCTAAACCCTAAAAGCCTAAACCCTAAACCCTAAACCCGAAGAAGGGACTGGATGGCAACCCGAGCCTGAAGGGGTCGCTGCATGGTCCTTGCCTTCTTTACAGGGTTCCGCTGTATGGGCCCTTTCGGTTTCATGAGGGTATATATGGGGTCCTAAACCCTAAACCCTAAACCCTAAACCCTAAACCCTAAACCCTAAACCCTAAACCCTAAACCCTAAACCCTAAACCCTAAACCCTAAACCCTAAACCCTAAACCTAACCCTAAACCAAGCCCTAAACCCTAAACCCTAAACCCTAAACCCTAAACCCTAAACCCTAAACCCTAAACCCTAAACCCTAAACCCTAAACCCTAAACCCTAAACCCTAAACCCTAAACCCAGGGCCATGGAGCCCTGAACGCTAAACCGTAGACCCAAAGCCCTGATCTTTGGTCCTGCGGTACTTCCCAGCACGTGTTGACGATTGTTGATGGGAGCAGTTTAGGATTTCAAAGCTTAGGGTTTAGGGACTTTGTTTTTTTATTTTGTCTTTTCATGCCCTCTACCTCTACCCTAAACCCTAGACCCTGGCAGCCAAGGCTGCCAAAGAACCCCCACTTTACCCTGACGACTCCCGAGTGAGGCGGGTGAAGATCGACCTTAACGCGCTCAGCAACAGCGAGGATGGCCCATCGCCCAGCTGGGAGGGTCGTGATCGTAGGATACTTAGTAGGCCACCTTCCACTTCCCAGTGCTGTGAGTTGGGATGTTGTCCTTAATAGGGATGATAGAACCCCCTATGGTAATCCTTATTAAGGATTGCTGGCATCAGGGAGGAACACCCCTGAACCCTGAACCCTAAACCCTAAACCCCTAAACCCCTAAACCCCAAACCCTAAACCCTAAACCCTGAACCCTGAACCCTAAACCCTAAACCCTAAAGTATCAGGGGGAACGTTCTTAGCGGTTCGTACGTTTTTACATCCTGGAGAGTCCTCGGCTTGGCGCCGCGGAGTTCCAGGACACGCTTCTGGCTTCGGAAGCTAGGGTTAGGGTTTAGGGTTTAGGGTTTAGGGTTTAGGGTTTAGGGTTTAGGGTTTAGGGTTTAGGGTTTAGGGTTTAGGGTTTAGGGTTTAGGGGGTTTAGGGTTTAGGGTTTAGGGTTTAGGGTTTAGGGTTTAGGGTTTAGGGTTTAGGGTTTAGGGTTTCGGCCGAAGCGCCCTCCAACCGAAGAGTTAACTAAACCCTAACCCTAAACCCTAAACCCTAAACCCTAAACCCTAAACCCTAACCCTAACCCCCTAACAACCCTAAACCCTAAACCCTAAACCCTAAACCCTAAACCCTAAACCCTAAACCCTAAACCCTAAACCCTAAACCCTAAAACCTCAACCCTAAACCCTAAACCCTAAACCCTAAACCCTAAACCCTAAACCCTAAACCCTAAACCCTAAACCCTAAACCCTAAACCCTAAACCCTAAACCCTAAACCTTAAACCTTAAACCCTAAACCTTGCCTGAACAGCCACAAGCACCCGCGGATGGGCTGCAACTTAGGATCTTCCTCCTTTATGCGAACAGTCCTTAGTAGGGATTACAGTAGAGATTACAGAACCCACCCCCCCTAATTATAATAGGAATTACACGTACCCGATTATAATCCCTATTAAGGACTGCTAGTATAAGGGGGAACGCCCCAATCTGCAAGACACTCCAAGAAGAGCCGCCTTGAGACCTCAGCACCCCGCTCCCCGAGGTTCTGAGGACAAGCGCCAGGAGCTCCAGGCAGGTTTAGGGTTTAGGGCTTAGGGCTTAGGGCTTAGGGCTTAGGGCTTCGGGCTTAGGTCTTAGGGCTTAGGGTTTAGGGTTGCGGGCTGCAAAGATGGCCGGACGCCTGAGCTTTAGCTGAGAGGCTGCGGTAAATGGCCTGCCGAGCTGCTCCCATATTCAAGAGAGCCCTAAACCCTAAACCCTAAACCCTAAACTCTAAACCCTAAACCCTAAACCCTAAACCCCAAACCCTAAACCCTTGAAGGGCCAACCTGGGGAGGTTTCGGGCTGAGGGGCCTTTTTGAGGGGATCTGCCAGCAAGAGCAGGCTCAGCTGGATAAGCTGATGGAGGAGCATGCCCAGCTCATGAAGGCGCCCCGGGCTCCTTGCAAGTGAGCATCACCCAGTTCAGGGTTATGGTCTTTTGGGTTGGTTTTCTATTAGGGGAAGGGCGAAGCTTGGTGAGTTCTTACACACCGTCGTTTCCCAGTTCAGGGTTATAATCTTTTGGGGATTTTTTCAATTAGGGTCTTACCCTGCACCTCATATTAGGATATTGGTTATAGAATGGATAAGGTTATGGGTTGTTTAGGTGCTGTGGGTTTTGGGTCATGTTATAGATAATTGTATTGGTTTGGTAGGTTGCTTTGTTTTCAGGATTATTGTATTGATTGTTGGGAGGTGCTTTGTGTTTTAGTGTTTTGGAAGGTTGATTTTGGGAGGCGGGTTGAGAATTGAGGTAAAAGTGTCGGGGGGAGTATAGGATGTGAGGTGTGGGGTTAGCCCCTGCTTTCGGTTTTTGTGGGTCGGGATTGAGGTAAAGTGGTGGATGTCGTAAGTGCTTCTGGTTTGGATTGCATCAGGAAGGTCGGTATATTCATTGGTTAGAGAATTGGGGTCAAAGTATAGGGGGGAGTATAGGATGTGAGGTGTGGGGTTAGCCTATGCTTGCATTTAGGGTGTAAGGGTGCAGGGGGTGTGGGGTGTAGGGTGTAGGGTGTAGGGTGTAGGGTGTAGGGTGTAAGGTGTAGGGTGTAGGGTTTAACTCGCCACCTTGTGGAGAGGGTTGAGTTGCCGCAAGCATCCCGTTAGCGAGTAGTGCTGGAAGGTGGTGCCCCGAAAGGTTCCTGAAATATAGGGTTTAGGGTTTAGGGGTTTAGGGTTTAGGGTTTAGAGTAAATATACTCCTAATATGGCCCTTACACTACCTTAAAAATCTTCAAGCAGGTCCCGAACACGCAAAGGTACAACCTTAAGGGTCCAAGGTACAACCCCTCGATGCCAGCAGCTACCAATCTGCATCTGAATGTTCCTAAGTGGGAGTTTACGCAAACAAGGGACCTTTAATACATACCCCCGAATTCGGATTCCCTTATACTCGGGACCCCAATAAGGTACCCCGAATTTCCGAAGCGCCCAAGTCTGATTGGCTTAGAACACTGACTTGAAGCCCAAGCTCCCCCAAATTCCTCATCCCAAGCTTGATCTGAAACACCGTGCCCCCCTTCCAAACCCGAAGTTCAGGGCTCACGTCCAGAACGCTGCTGTGGGCCCTCAATCTTACATGCATAGGGCCCCCCCATCCCAAGAATGCCTTTGACGTTTCCTGGCCCAGCAAAACCAGCAAAACCTTCATGAGCAGCCCGAAGCCCAAGCCCCCTGAACCCTAAACCCTAACCGGCCCTAAGCCCTAAACCCTAAACCCCAAACCCTAAACCCTAAACCCTAAACCCTAAACCCTACACCCTAAACCCTAAACCCTAAACCCTAAACCCTAAACCCACCCGTTGAGAACCCCCCAGGGCGGCGGCAGCCGAAAAGAGGACGCCAAACCGGCGGAGCCGCCGGCGGAGCCGCCGGCAGGCGAAGGTGCCAAGATGGCTTCGGGATTCTTTTGCTCCCTACCCCCTTAATTAGGGGTTTCGGGTTTCTGGTTTTTTCGGGGGGGGCTAGAACTTGCCGAGCCTTGTGAGCCCGAACTCCTTCCTGGCCGCAGTCCTGCTCTTTTTGAAGGCGGCCAGGGGGGCTGGCACAGAGAAGCGGCTTCACGAGATGGACCAAGCCCCCCCCCACCCCCTCTAACCTACTGGACGGACAACGTCCTACAACCCCTACATGGCACGCACGGTGTTGTCGGTACTCGAGCTCCCGCTCTAACCTTAATGTTAGGGCCCTCTGTGAGCGTTGTCAGAAGGTCAATGTGAAGATTCAGGGTTTGGAAGGGATGACCGGTCCAAGAGAAGTGATCAGTCAACCCCCCCTTCCCCCCCCCCCCCCCCCTAAACCCTAAACCCTAAACCCTAAACCCCTAAACCCCTAAACCCTAAACCCTAAACCCTAAACCCTAAACCCTAAACCCTAAACCCTAAACCCTAAACCCTAAACCCTAAACCCTAAACCCTAAACGGTGCAGACCCTCCAGGAAGCTTTGAAGAGAAAGAGCCTGCCTCCAAGCATTGGGGGCAAAGGGAGCGTCGGGTGTTCTGGATCCCCTGCGCCCTGACACCCCCTAAACCCTAAACCCTAAACCCTAAACCCTAAACCCTAAACCCTAAACCCTAAACCCTAAACCCTAAACCCTAAACCCTAAACCCTAAACCCTGAACCCTGAACCCTGAACCCTAAACCCTAAACCCTAAACCCCAAACCCTAAACCCCAAACCCTAAACCCTAAACCTTAATAACCGAAACCCTCCAAACTCAACGCCGACTTTTCGTAAGTAATGGAAGTAGCTGGCTTGGATCATAGCCGCTGCAGCTTTCAAGCCCCAACGCCTTCGGGACTCCAGCTTTTGAGACTTCCGATGCTCTTCATGTAGAATCCGAAGCATCCCCACACCCCCAGCCATGCCCCACCCAAGGGTCCTAGCCCCAAAACCCGTAACCCTCAACCCTAAACCCTAACCTTAAAAACCCTAAACCCTAAACCCTAAACCCTAAACCTTAAACCCTAAACCCTAAACCCGAAACCCTAAACCCTAGACCCTCGAAGGCGCCTCTTCAGGGCCAAGGCCCCGACCACCAACGGAGCCCACCGTGGGGAGCTCGCCCGCGGGGGCCTGAAGTCGACTCCCAGGTTGCTTAGGGTTTAGGGTTTAGGGTTTAGGGTTTAGGGTTTAGGGTTTAGGGTTTAGGGTTTAGGGTTTAGGGTTTAGGGGTTTACGGGGCTTGCCGGTTCATTCTGGGAAGCTGATGTTAAGTGCCTGCAGAAGGAACTCAACTGAGCTTCCCGAATGCCCATAGTACATCACAGAGTTTCCTTGTTATGGTAACTTAACCCAAAGCTCCTTGCTTAGGGTTGTATGGTTGTGGTTCATGTGTATAGGCAGTTCTTACAGTCGCGCTGAAACCATCCCACAAAATCTTACAAACTCCAGGATAGCATCCTTGTAACATGCCGTGCGAGAAATCCTGAAATCAAACAATCCCCCACAAAGCCCCCATCGCCCAAAGGCCTGCGCCGGAAACCCTAAGCCCCAAAAAGCTGTCCTAACCTTCTGCTTGAAGGTTCATGGGCCATGGGTAGTTACAAGTAGGGTTTGAAATACCCAAAAAAGGTTATACAACCTCTTATAGCTCTAATTAGTTCGTTCACTTATAACGCCAGCTATAACTACACGTGAATTTCCAAGTACAGCCCACATGGTTTTCTACGCAGACATGCGGAAGCCGCCCAAATCAAGCGCCCTCAGGCCAAGCTAGAGTCCCAGAGCAATCCAATCTACATAGCCTCTGAAAAAAACACGGAAAAAAGTACCAGCAACAATTTTAAGTAGATGTCTTGCTAAGGGTAAGGGTTACAGGGAAAGCCCTAAACTCTAACCCACCCTAAACCCTAAACCCTAAATTTAAGAGCCTCCGGCTCAAGCAGCCGACCCCGCAGGAGAACAAGTTTAAGGTTTGGGGTTTGGTGGTGGGGCCAGCCTGGCGAAGCTGCCTGGGCGGGGTAGGGGGGGGGGTAGGGGGGTGGGGGTGGGTGGTCCATGAGTTTACGCGGTGTGGGTGGCCTGTTCCTCCACGGAAAAGCTGCCGGGGTACCCCCCCCCCCCCACGCCCCTAAACCCTAAACCTAAACCCTAAACCCTAAACCCTAAACCCCAAACCCCAAACCCTAAACCCTAAACCCTAAACCCTAGCCGAGGGCCTTACAGCCCGAGCGCCCACGGAAATTAAGCCTCACCGTCTGTCCTGGACAGGCCAACGGACATCGGCCTTTTTTACGACAACGTCAGTACTCGGCTAAGGGATGGCCGGCACCCAGACCACCTTTAGCGTAGCTAAAGTGCAACCCCAAAGCGTAACCCTTTTGCCTCTGTCGGTTCAGGGTTTTGGGTTCAGGGTTTGCCGGGCCCCCCCCCGGCGGCCCCCTGGTCCCTGGTGGCTGGATTCCTGGACCAGGAGGCTGTCCAGGTCAATTTTGTGATTTTGGGTCAGTCTCCCACGTGTTGGGCCAAGTACCCCCGGGCCAAGGGTTCCCCGAACCAAGGGCACCCCGAACCAAGGGCCCCCCGGGCCAAGGTCCCCCCGGGCCCAGCCAAGGGGCCCTTGCCAAGCACCTTTTTTGTTTGGGTCAAAGATTTACAAAAGGGTCTTCCGGGGCCAAAGGACCCCCGCAGCCCCACACAAGGGCCCCCCGAACCCCGGGCCAAGGCCCCCCAACCAAGGCCCCCGAGCTTTCATTCCGGGACCCCCGCTGCTTTGTGAAACAAAAGCTTGCCGATATCAAGGGCCTGGAAGGGCCCGGGTTCAGGGCTAGAGGAAGGCCCCCGCGCCAAAAGGCCCCCGGACCGTACCATCAATGAAACATGTTTTTTGTTTATATTGGAATTGATGGTTTTGCGCACCCCTCCATTTTACACCAGAAGCGCCAGGAAAGCCCAGGAAGCCTCCAAGAGGCGCCAAGAGCCACCAAAAGGCTTCAAAAGCTTCAAAAGGCCCCCCAAAAGAAGGGGGACCACAAGATTTGTCCGTGCCCGCAATGAAAAATGCGATTTTTGAATATTGAAAACGATGGGTTTTAGGCACCCCTGCCCGCAATGAAAAATGTTGTTTTTTAGTACTGAAATCGATGGTTTTGGGCACCCCTCCATTTCACCCGAAAAGGACCAGGAAAACCCCAGGAAGCTACGGGCCCTGACGTGCCGAAGGCCCGAGAGGGGCCGAGGCTACCCCGAACCCCAGCTTAAACCCTAACACCGCAAAACCCTGCGAAGGCCTTCAAGCAAATAAAGGGCCTCTACGGGCCCTAACGTGCCGAAGGCCCGAAAAGGGCCGAGGCTACCCCGAACCCCAGCTTAAACCCTAGCGATTGAAATACTCATTGGCGAAAAAAAACTAAGAGGTTCTGAAATCGATGGTTTTGGGCACCCCTTCATTTTACCCCGGAAGGGCCAGGAAAGCCCCCGGAGGCCCCCAAAAGGCCCCCAGAGCCACCAGAAGGCCTGAGGACCTTAAAGAAGGGGAATCCAGGAGCAAGCACAAAGGGCTTCCCTGACCTTCAAATAAATGAGGGCCTCTACGGGCCCTGACACGCCGCAGGCCCGAAGAGGGCCGAGGCTACCCCCAGCCCCAGCATAAACCCTAACAGCGCAACTTTAAAAACATCAAGGCAAGCATCAGGGCACAAGAAAATAAATTCCATAAACCCTAAACCCTAGTAGAGTATAGTTTGGGTGGCCGGGATGGGTTGACGGGCAACGCGAGCGCGCGGCCCGGGGTGTTTCACACCCGAGCGCGCGCGCCCTGACACACCCTAAACCCTAAACCTTAAACCCTAAACCCTAAACCCTAAACCCTAAACCCTCAAGCCCCCCTTACCCAAGGCCTCCTGGAGCGGCAGAGGCGGAAGGCCTCCTGGCGCGCCGGAGTTTTTCTGCTGCTGAGTTTAGGGTTTAGGGTTTAGGGTTTAGGGTTTAGGGTTTAGGGTTTAGGGTTTAGGGTTTAGGGTTTAGGGTTCCCCCTTGTACTAACGGCCCTTAATAGGTATTTAGGGTTTAAGGTTTAGGGTTTAGGGTTGTAGGGTTTAGGGGGTTTAGGGTTTAGGGTTGTAGGGTTTTGGGTTTAGGGTAGCTGTTTGTTACATTCATTGGGATGTTCCCCCTTCTACTAACGGCCCTTGCTTGGTATTTAGGGTTTAAGGTTTTGGGTTTAGGGTTTAGGGTTTAAGGTTTAGGATTTAGGGGGTTTGGGGTCTAGGGTTTAGGGTTTAGGGTTTAGGATTCGGGGGTACTTACTATAATCCCTATCAAGGACTGTTGTTGGAAGGGGGAACATCCCAATATATTAGCGTTATTTGCCTGAAACAAAGGAAGTAACATAGGGATCGGAATAAGTACTAAGAGTTTTCCGCTCTTGGTCCCTATATTAGTTGTACAATGAGAATTCCGAAAACCCATTCTAATTTTCAATGCACCTAAAAGCAAAAACTGGGTGCGTTTCACCCTGTTAGTTTTGCTTTAAGAAAGGAAGCAGTAGAATATGTTGAAGTTGAAGTAATTAGGGGTGCGTTTCGCTGTTTTTTTTTTGGGGGGGGGGGGGGGCAAATAGGCTTATATTCCTTTTTGCCCAACTCCTACAAAACCCTCCAAAACCCTACACAAAACCCGGTCAACAAAACCTGCAAGCCCCTCACCACTACCCGGTTAAAAACATCCTCCCAAGCCCGAAGATCCTAAGACCAAATCAAGAGCCCTCAGGCCAAGCTAGAGTCCCAGAGCAATCCAATCTACATAGCCTCTGAAAAAAAAAACGGGAAAAGGTACCAGCAACAATTGTAAGTAGGTGTCTTGCTAAGGGCATGGGTTACAGGGAAGACCCTAAACCCTAAACCCTAAACCCTAAACCCTAAACCCTAAACCCTAAACCCTAAACCCTAAACCCTAAACCCTAAACCCTAAACCCTAAACCCTAAACCTAACCCTAAACCCTAAACCCTAAACCCTAAACCCTAAACCCTAAACCCTAAACCCTAAACCCTAAACCCTAAACCCTAAACCCTAAACCCTAAACCCTAAACCCTAAACCCTAAACCCCAAGCCCTAAACCCTAAACCCTAAACCCTTAGCCCTAAGTTGCCAAAGGCCTCTGAGGAGGGCCTCAACTTCACGGCCGGAGGCCGCTCTTCGGATCCAGGGGGAGCACTTTGAAGGGGGGGGGGGGGGGGGGGAAAATCTCGCCCCCTGAAGAGGGTTTAGGGTTTAGGGTTTAGGGTTTTGGGTTTAGGGTTTAGGGTTTAGGGTTTGGGGTTTGGGGTTTGGGGTTCAGGGTTTAGGGTTTAAGGTTTAGGGTTTAGGGTTTAGGGTTTTGGGTTTTGGGTTTTGGGTTTTGGGAGTCCCTCCTGAAGTGTTCTCTCTGCAGATTCCGGGCGGGGCTGTTGAGCAAGAGCGCGCATGTACTTTTGTGGACCAAAGGGGGGGATTGCATTCTTCAGCTCAAGCCTTCATACGAAAATTTGAGCCCGGCGGCTGGCGGACTGAGCCGAGTGAGTGACTTAGCCGCCGCGCGCCGCGATGTTTGTGCAGAGCCCACGGCAAGAGTCCATGAGCCAGCCCCTGTCAGCAGCGCGCGATGTCAAGCTTCAAAGTGGACTGAAACTTTGCCATAGTTGGGTAACATGTTACATCTTCACGGATACTTAAACCCAATAATGAATAAACATCTAAATGTTTAATACTGTCCCAAAAATGAACGAGGAAAGTTTGGTCCAACGTTCCAGCGCCCAACAGCCAGTATCACATCATGGGCGACGAGTACTCGCAGGTGCTGGAGATGGACATCCATCCTGGGGAGTCCGTCACCTGCGAGCCCGGCAGCTATATCTTTCTTGGGAATTATTATTGTTTTTTTTTTCAAATTTTTGTTTATGTAAAACCCAAGAGGATATTAAAACATATTGTGTTTTTATGAAGGTTCTAAGGGGAGTATAGGCAGCATGGCCTACATGAGTCCCGGCTTGAACCCGGACGTAGACGTCGGCGGCTGCGAGCAGGGGTTCAAGCGTTGCTGCTGTGCTGGTGAGAACCTCTTCAGGTTGCACTTCTTGAACGAGACTAGGCACTTGGGGTTTAGGGTTTAGGGTTTAGGGTCTAGGGTTCATCTTCCCTCATTGGGTTTAAGAGGACCGTAATTCAGGAATGTTCTTCAGAGGGTTTCTATAGGGGCCAACCGAGGAGACGGATGATTGCCAGCAAGTTGGCCTCACGCCCACTTTCCCTGCCAAGATCGTCCCCATTGATCTCGCCAAGTACGACGGCATGGTCTTCAACCGGGGCGCCTTCTTGGCTGCCTTGGGTTCCGATCCTTGGGGACCAAATGAGCCCTAAGATTGGGGTCATATACTCTATATTTCTATAATTCTTTATTAAGGTATAGTCGGTATAGCTATGAGCCATAAACCATTTTAGGGTTCATTTCGTCCCCAAGGATTGGTCCGTTGACATCAAGCGGGTGCGTTCAGTCGGGACATGCTTCTGCGGAGGCCAGGGGCTTTTCATGAACACCTTGCACGGGAGTGGCATGGTCTTCCTGCAAGCTGCTTAGGGAATCTTGGGAACAATTTTGAATTTTCGGGTACTGTAACTACTCCCAAGAAACAGCCAAAATCCTTAATACTCGGGTTCCAAGTTCAGTGTAGGCTGGAGGGACAGTCATGAAGAAGGAGCTCGAAGATGGCGAGGAGCTCGTGGTTGGGGGGTTATTTAGGGCTTTTTAGTTGCGTAGGGACTATATAAGGAATATTTTAAGGGTTATATAGGGGAATAAGACTAAGGGCCCCTTTTAAACCCTAAACCCTAAACCCTAAACCCTAAACCCTAAACCCTAAACCCTAAACCCTAAACCCTAAACCCTAAACCCTAAACCCTAAACCCTAAACCCTAAACCCTAAACCCTAAACCCCTCTCTTGAGGAGCTCGTGGTGGAGCAGGGCGCAGTGCTGGCCTTCGAGCGCAGCGTGGACCTCGACATCCGCAAGACCCTTGAGAACCAAATGAAGCCTAAAAGGGTTTAGGGTTACATACCCTCATAAAGATCGGATTTTTGTAAATGAGCCCACAAAGGGTTTAGGGTTCATATACCATCATAAGGATTATAGTGATTATAGTACCCCAAAAGGGTGTAGGGTTCACATACCCTAATCAAAGGATTATAGTAGTAATAGGGTTTATGGTTCATATACCCTAACCTTTGGATTATAGTAGTATAGGGTTTATGGTTCATATACCCTAATCTAAGGATTATAGTAGTATAGGGTTTATGGTTCACATACCCTAAGAAGGATTATAGTAGTAGATACCCTCATAAGGATTATAGTACCCGAAAAGGGTGTAGGGTTCACATACCCTCATCAGGATTCTAGTACCCGAAAAGGGTTTATGGTTCACATACCCTAATCTAAGGATTATTAATATAGTAGTATAGGGTTTATGGTTCATATACCCTAATCTAAGGATTATAGTAGTATAGGGTTTATGGTTCACATACCCTAAGAAGCATTATAGTAGTAGATGCCCTCATAAGGATTATAGTACCCGAAAAGGGTGTAGGGTTCACATACCCTCATCAGGATTCTAGTGCACTAAAAGGGTTATGGTTTATATACCCTCATCAGGATTATAGTAGTATAGGGTCTATGGTCCCAATTTTAGGGTGAACCCTAAAAGGGTTTATGGTTCTTATACCCTGATAAGGATGATAGTAGTATAGGGTCTGGTCCCAATTTTAGGGTTCCTTTGGTTCCCAAGGACCGGGGGGTGCTTGGTGTGCTGCTGCGGCGGCATGGGCCTGTTCAATGCCGTCTTGACAGGGCCGGGATTCGTGATGATTCTATAGCTTCCTTGGGACTTTTTTTTTTTTTAAACCTTTTTGTTCATATAAAACCCAAACAGATATCAAACATGTTATTTTTATGAAGGTTCGAAGGGGAGTAGAGGATTCACTCGATGGGCCTCCAGAAGCTCCGAAGTAGCCTGGGCGCTCCGGGCGGTGGTGGCAACAACGGGGGAGGAGGTGCTGCGGCGGAGTGAGTGGATGCCAAGCTGTTGAGCGCTCTGCTCCTTTGGGGCAAGCTTGAAGTCTGGCCTTTAGCCCGACCCACAGGAAGCGTCGCTTAGCGGCCGCAGCAGCAAAGGCAGCCGCAGAGAAGTCTGAAGTCTGGATGCCTTGTGCGGAGCAAGACGTCGACTGTGGCAGGTCCCCTGTCTCTCGGTGCCAAAGAGCATCGGACATGTGAATTATCAAGGGTAGAAAAGCTTCTTTGAACAGCACCGGCAGGACTTGTGACTCGGAGTGTGCATCTGTGGCCGGATCTGTTCTTCCAAGGGGTGCCTGGTGCGGGCACGTTGTCGATGGTTGACTTGGGACGGGGGGCTTCGGGCTCGAGGGGTGTTGTACGAAGGCGTGAGCCGTAGCTATGGAGGACATAGAGTTGCTACCGGCCATCGGACTTAAGGTGACCTGTGTGACACGATGCAGTTGGTGTTTGAGGGCTTCTTGTTCCCTTGCACAGTTTTGCACGCAGGTGCAGTCAGCACTGCAGATGCCCTGGCCGAGAGTCCACAGAAGGAGGCATCCCTATAGGGGGGGTGGGGGCTTGTGCAAGGCACGGACCATGATCTAGTAGCACACGATGAAGTAAGTGCGAGAAAGATCGTATGAGAACAATGCAAGACTGCTTTGTCTTGAAACGCCAGCCAAAAACCAGTTTAGCAAAGAAAAGAACACGCGTATCGACGGCGTTTTTGTTTTCTTGAGTGTTGATGCAAACAGCAGAAGATAGAAAATCTTGTTTCTCTGTGAGTTGATTGCAGTATTTCCTTTGAATTCAAACAGGTTCCAAAAGGCAGCTTTATTCCGGGCACCGAAAACAGCCCCAGATTTTGGATTTCCTCTCTGAACATACAAGGTCACGGTTGGAGCCCGAAATTGGAGCCCAGATTTAGGAGCCATTTTGGGGCCCAGTTGCGGCGTGTTTTTTCACAGGCAGAAGCCAGATCTGGCTGACGGAGCCGGTCGTTGCGAGTAAAAACAAATAAACCTCTTGCTCCGTTCCGGTCTAAGTCTTAGAGTCTTTTCAGTCTTCCCTCAAAACTTAGAACAGCAGACAGCAAGGTGGCAAAGTGTGATGAACGTATTTGGAACCGGAACTTTCTCTCACGGTAGTTGCACATGTGAAGGAAACCAGAAGCTTGTTGGCGAGCGCCCTTTTTCTTTTATGGCGTTGTAGTGTTCGTGCTGCCACAGCGACGAAATGCGGCCTCTGCCAGTGAGCTCGAGGCAGCAAGCGCGTGTCACGAGCAAGAATTCCTACCTCATGTGGATCGGAAGGTGGGACATGACATAAGAACTGCGCCATAGCATTTACTGCTGCAGGGTGCCCTTGCTATTTAAGCGGTTGCGCCGGACAGTGCCCCGACGATAGGGAACGCATATTCACCGCACGGGTGCCGTGTGTTGGGGGCGGAGACTTCAGCCATGCGCTAGATCGTAAATAGTAAAGCGCTGCATCTGGGGCAAGACTCGGCGACGTCTTGCGGACTTCTGCCGCAAAATCATGGCGGCCTGGTGCCACCGAGAAGCCTGCCCTGCACGCACTGCTGGCCACGGGCCCATGCATGATGCAAAAAGCGTGAGGACATGGTGCAGCGGTTCAGTTCGGTCGAATGGTGTGCAAGCAGGAGACTCTCTGGATCACCTCGAGGACCACCCCATGACGTCCTTCCAGCTCTGCAAGTTGGAGATCGATGGCCTGGAGCGCTGCGCAAAGATGCAGCAGGCGCAGTGCCACCAGGCCGCTGCAAGCGTGGCGAGCCAGGGAGGTGGATAGAGCCAGAGTGGCGCTTCCTGTGTTCCTTTTTCTACTTACCAGACGGTAGAATGGAGGCTTGACTCTCACACGCGGATCCCGGCAGTGTTGATGAAGACCCCATAACGACAGCAGATGCTTGCTGCAACCGACGTGCTGAATGACGAGATGACGCCGACCCCTTGTCGCGCATGTTGGTGTGCTGAATGGCACGATATCCAGAATCATAATGTTGAGAACCGCTTGCGAGCGGCTGGGTCAGGTCATGTAGCCGTAACTTAATGTTGAGATTGAGTGGCATGTCAACACTTTAAGACTTGTTGCTGCAAGCTTTCTCTTTTGTGTCAAAGTTGCCTGTTGCATTGCATGTGCTTTCTCACAGCCAGACCACAGCCAGAATGAATGAGATCCTTTTTGTCAGCACAACTTGGATGCGAGTAGAACCCCACACAAGGTTTTGATCGAGGAACGTTGTGAAGAATCCTGCCAGCACGTCACGCAGTTGAACCTTGAGCCCCAAGAACCGATCCTTGCTGAGCAGGATTCGGCTCACGAACCGCCCGAAGGTGCGAAGCTGAATGGGTTTTGGATGGCCTGGTCGCTGGTCGTTCGGTCATGGTAGTCATGATTGGAGGGCTGTCGGATCTTTGGGCTGAGGGCTCTAGGGTTTACGAATGCTTGGGACCACTGACAGACCCTAAGCTAGCCCTAGACATCCCTAGCCCCTAAGCCCACCAGAAGTTCAGTACGCAGAACAGGACTATGGTATTCTGTTTTTTTGGGGGGCTCCATTTTTCGGGGGAGATGTCCATAGCCCCAACAACAAGTTGAGAGAAGCGTCAAGGTACTGCTGTCCGTGTGTGCCAGAGCCTACCATAGGGGTCGGAATAGCTACTAACAGTATTCCTTATGGTCCCCTTGATGAATATGCTCCAATAACCCCCAAGCCCTGTTCTAATTAGTAAGCCCGTATATTCCCATGATCTGCCGGGTTGGGGATTCTACATTCGGTTGCAGAGCGGAGTTTATTTAAGGGGTTTGGGGTTCAGGCATTTCAGGTTATGTTCGTTATTTTGCAGTTGCTTCGCCCCGCTTTCTGAGCTCAGAGCAGCGAGGCATGCTAGAAATCCGGAGCGCCGTCTTGCCTTTCCTTTGTACACCATGTGCCCCAGGGTTTAGAGTTTAGGGTTTAGGATTTCGGGTTTTGGGTTTAGGATTTAGGCTTAGGAAGAGCGCACGAACCCAGTCCCCCCCTTAGACAATTAGATTAGACTTGAGTCGACAGGAAGGATCCTGACACGGGTATTTCCCAAAACAAGGTGCCCCTAGTAACATACCGCCCCCCCCAAAATACTAGAATCCCACAAACCCTCTTAAGAAGGGTAGCCCTATTTTGGGACCCCTAAGCCCTAAGCCCTAAACCCTAAACCCTAAAACCCTAAAACCACACACCCTAAACCCAAAAAAACACAAAGCAGCTCAGCAAATTGGGTTTCGTGCGGCGGAGCGCCGCGCGTGCCGCTTGCAATCAGCTGCGGCGGCGCTCGGAAGCGGCACGCGCCGGCCACGCCATCCTCTGGAGGTTTAGGGTTTAGGGTTTATAGGGTTTAGGGTTTAGGGTTTGGGGTTTAGGGTTTAGGGTTTAGGGTTTGGGGAGGGCCTTAGGGCGGTTCAGGCGCTTGGGGATCCCCCAAGGCTTGGGATGATCTGTGGTTCAGGGGGCGTTTAGGGGTTTAGGGTTTAGGGTTTAGGGCCTAGGGGCTTAGGGCGTTTAGGGGTTTAGGGCTTCGGGCTCATCGGGTTTAGGGGTTTAGGGGTGTCAGGGTTTGGGGTGTTGAAGGGAAGTGGTAGGCCCTCTACTTGAGGTACTTTAAGGGGATGGGCTTCTTCGACCATATCTGGCTTGGCTGGTTGATGTTGCACGGGGTTCACCTCCCCCCCCCCTCCCCTCTGCATGCGGGAAACTTGCGATGAAAGCGAGTAGGTAAAAATCAAACCGAGTGCAACATTATTTCTTTATGAATATGAAAAAGCCATAAGCCCTTGAAACCTAAAGCCGTTAAGCCATGAAGCCTCCAACCCAGAAACCTTCTTGAGCCCTTAAAGCCTCAAACCCTCAAGCCCAACAACTTGCTGCTGCAGAGCGCGCACCCCCACTGCACATCCTTTGAAAATGGTTGGTTCAGTTCTCCTTGTGATTCAAGAGTATGAAGGGGAGGCATTCTTGCCTTCTTCACTCGTTTTTCTACAACGCAGTTGCTTGTCCTCCAGATGGCTCCAGCCACGTTTCTTTTCAAACCACCATCCCTCAACCTAAACCCTAAACCCTAAACCCTAAACCCTAAACCCTGAACCCTGAACCCTGAACCCCGAACCCTGAACTCTGAACCCTAAACCCTGAACCCTGAACCCTAAACCCTCAACCCTATGTCACAGGTGACTCCGGGACTCGTGCCGCATCCATGCGGCTTCTGCTTGCGGCGGCGGCAGCAACAATGCTGCTTGCTGTGCTGGCGCCGCTTCGGGTTTAGGGTTTAGGGTTTAGGGTTTAGGGTTTAGGGCTTAGGGTTCAGGGTTCAGGATTTAGGGTTTAGGGTTTAGGGTTTAGGGTGTAGGGTGTAGGGTTTACGGTTTAGGGTTTAGGGTTTGAGGTCTGGACCTTCGAGGTCCAATCGGTCAGAGATCAGGAACTCCCCAACCCCAAGCCATCCAAGCAGCCCAGTGGTACCTTTTACCATCTTTTTGTAGTGGTTCCGGCTTCCCTTTGAATTAGGGACCCAAAAAGGACATATGCATAAGCATTATATAGGGATATCCCTACCTTATTGGGCTTCATGATCAGGGGGTTTATATGGGACATCCCTATCCTATTTTTTGCTTATGTGCTTTTTTTGGGCCCTATAGAACAGTAGCCAACACAAAAAAAGGTGCCCTTATTGTAATTTGGTTGCTGGGCCACAGGGCATCCGAAGCCCAGGCCCAAGTTTCAAGTACACTCTGATGATAATGCAGCTCTCAAGCCCCAAGCCCTGTTTGCCAACAGGTAAACCCTAAACCCTAAACCCTAAACCCTAAACCCTAAACCCTAAACCCTAAACCCTAAACCCTAAACCCTAAACCCTAAACCCTAAGCCCTAAACCCTAAACCCTAAACCCATAGGCACTCCTTCACGGTAGTCCGGCAGGCCCCCAATTTCATCTCCAGCTTGCTTTCCGACGGCGGAAGGATCCTGGAGGAGTGTCGAGGGAGAAGTTCCGGTCTGGGTTTTAGGGTGGGTGACCCCGTGGGGAGTGGCATGCGCATGGCACGACAAACTGACATTTTTGACAAACGTACAACCCCGGCAACTCCCCCCCCCCTCGCCCCTCTTCCCCCCTCCGCCTCGCTTCCCTCAGACCCCGAGCTGCGGGAAAATGAGCACTCCAAACACAATCTCCACAGAACAGTGTCTGCTGAATCCTTTCCTTTCAGTGCAGCTGTTTCATTCCCGTCGAGTCGCGAGTCTGTTGCTTCCATTCTTTTGGATCGTGTCGGTGGCAGCTCAAGTTCCGGCCATGTTGCGGGGTGAAGCTATATCCTGGGCCAGAAGACCCTCTCAGCCAAAAAGCGTCAACAGCCCTTAAAATCTTTGGAACAAGCGAGCCCCCGCAGACGTGGGGCTCTTTGGGACTTAGCGTCAAGAGTTGGGTTTTTTCGTGTCCAGTGACTGCCCGAGACGATGGATACAACGGATGCAAGGAGAAAGACATACTCCTAGACCCTAAACCCTAAACCCTAAACCCTAAACCCTCAACCCTCAACCCTCAACCCTCAACCCTCAACCCTAAACCCTAAACCCTAAACCCTAAACCCTAAATTCTCAACCCTCAACCCTCAACCCTAAACCCTAAACCCTAGGCCCTGAACCCTCAACCCTCAACCCTCAACCTCAACCCTCAACCCTCAACCCTCAACCCTCAACCCTAAACCCTAAACCCCGAAACCCGAAACCCGAAACCCTAAACCCTGAACCCTAAGCCCTAAACCCCTAGGACTTGTACCTGCAGCTGCTGTTGCTGCCTGGCGCCGCCAATGCAAGTGTGATGCCTGCCAAGATGGCAGGTGCTGTCCAGTCTTGCACAAGGGTTTAGGGTTTAGGATTTGGGGTTTAGGGCTTAGGGTTTTAGGGATACAAAGCACCTGAGCATCATCAACAGTGCCAATCACGGTACCATCTTTTTGTGTGACTGCGGTCAGCCCGTGCAAGAGAACCACGATTCATTGCACACTCTGCCATCAGCCATGGGGGTGAGACGAACTATCGATGAATTCCCCCAACCCCAGCTCAAATTCCAAAAAATGCAGGTGCAGACTTGAAGCAGCAGAAGCAGGAGGAGAGTTTGAGACACGGCTGCCCGAAACTTCGGAGTCTTTACCCGGCCTAGGCCACCAGAGGTTTGATGCAGCGCCTTTTTTCCACGACGGCCCCACAGATCAAGATGCCCACTTAAGCAACCTTGCACCACGCACCGAGAAGGTAAGTGATAGCTTTGAGGAAAGACGGCGAGACTCTTCTGGAGGAGGCAGATGCGCTTCGGCTCGACGTGATTCTGAAGCGTCCTATGTGGGCTTGCCAAGGGACCCTGTGACCCTCCGCTTGGGGTAAGGTGACGTCAGGCTTGATGGCCGGAGTTTGCAGGCCTCACAATCCCGCACCTCAGGTGCAGAACTTGACAGATATAGGGGCCTTAATAATTCGAATAGGTATTATAGTCCCCAAGGGGAAAACTACTATTAGTAGTGATTCCGATCCCTATATAAGGTGCTTAAGCAGAAGATGGCCAAGAACGAGAGAGAAATTGACGCGCAGCAGCCTGCCCGTGGATCCCAGGGGCGGCTTTATTTTGGGCTTTAGGGCTTCGGCGTTTTTGTTTTGGAAAGGGGCCGGATACCTGGGGCGTTTTTTTTCTGGCCAGATGTATGTACGTGCATCATATGCACACACATATGCACATATATGTGTAGTATGAAACGTACATAGAGTTGTTCGTCCGTGAAGTCAAAACCCACTAACTCCAAGTTTTCTTATCAACTCCACACCTCCGGATTCTCAAGCGGCACCCGCTTAAAACAGCACAAAACCAACCCGACCAACTCCACGTCCCGAATGTTCCAACAATTCTGGTACCAAAACACTTTGCCCAGATGGTACTGGATCTGGGGGACAGCGTTCCGGAACTGTATTGGATTTTGTTACGATGTTTGGAGGGAGGACCAAGTGGTTTCGGAGCTTGCGCAGTTTTAGCATTCGGCACATAGGTGTTGAAGATACTGCATCCAGGAAAACTGCAGCGCAGCACCCCGCCCCCCTAACCACCCCAACCATCAAACCCCCCCCCCCTCCCACAACCATCCCCCCGCCAACCACCCGCAACCAGCCACCCCAACCACCCCCCCCCACCCCTCCAACCACCTTCGCAACCACCCCCCCAAACCACCCCCCCAACCACCCACCCCCCCCCCGCAAGGCCCAAAACCTCAAAGCAACGCAAACCACCCCACGCACCGCGAAGCCAAGAAAGAGGC